AAAAAAAAAAAAAAAAACCCCACAGATTTTGAAGGTTTATTTTTATACCTATGAGTGTTTTGGCTAATTGTCTATACACTATGTATATACAGTGCCCATGGAGGCCTGAAGAGAGCCTTAGATCCCTTGGAGCTGGGGTTACAGAGCACTGTCAGTCAGCACTCAAATGTGGGAGCAGCTGGGAATCAAAGATGACTCCTCTACAGTGCTCTTAAGCCCTGACACATCTCTCCAGCCCCAATATCACAGACTTTAAAGTCTATTTAAAATCTACTAAAAATACAAGTGTTGCATATGCCTATAATACTAGAACCTGGCAAACAAACACAGGAGAATCAGGAGTTCAAGAACAGCTTCACACCCGGCGGTGGTGGCAAACACCTTTAACTCTTTAATCCCAGCACTTGGGAGGTGGAGGCAGGTGGATTTCTGAGTTCAAGGCCAACGTGGTCTACACAGAAAAACTGTGTCTCAAAATCCACAAACAGAACAAACAAACAAAAGAACAGCTTCAATTATCTGGGATCCTGTCTCAAAAAAAAAAACTACAAAAATAAAACATTGTGTTTTCAATTTATCTCTTTGAAAATGATCCAAAGAAAAACTGCTGTGTGTGTGTGTGTGTGAGAGAGAGAGAGAGAGAGAGAGAGAGAGAGAGACTTATGATGAGGAAAAGATAGAGGGAGGAGAAAGAAGGGTAAGAGAGAGAGAGAGAGAGAGAGAGACTTATAATGAGGAAAAGATAAAGAGAGGGAGGAGAAAGAAGGGTGAAACAGGCATTGTAAAAATAATAGCACCAGATCAGTGAAGATGACTCTGGACTCTGCTGTACTCCTGAACCTTCTCTAAGTACTGGGATAATGTCAAAATAAACACTTTTAAAACTAACAACACAAAGGACTCCAGCACCCACCAACATGACTACTTCCTTAGGCTTCAGCAGGGTGGGAACGGGAAACAGAGGACTTACCACAGCAAACTCATCTCGGTCCAGATGTCCGTCCTTGTCAATGTCACTAAGGTCCCAGACCTGCAGGAGATAGACAGATCCATGAGGGTGGTGTGGGGAAGGACCTGTCCGGCTCACCCAGCACAAGCAACTTCTGAGTTGATAGTGCATGAGGCCAAGGCAATCAGAGATACTTGTGAAGCTGTGTACCTGTCTTCCCATACACCAACAGTGTACACACATACACACAAAGAAAAGAGAAGAAAAGGAGAAGCATTTAAGAACTAGTCTGTAGCAAGAAGACCAGACTAGGCTACACAGAGTTCCAGGCCTATACAGCAAGATACTATCTGTGGTGGTCTGAGGTGGAATGGCCTCCACAGGCTCACATATTTGCATATTTAGTCCTCAGCTGGTGAACTATTAAGGAAGGAAGAGTTTGTGTCACAGGGAAGTGGGTTCTGAGGTTTCAAAAGCCCATGCCGTGTCTCTCCTGGCCTTTCTGCTTGTGGATCAGGATGTATCTCTCAGCTACTGCTCCAGCACCATTGTCTGCCTGCCTGCTTCCTGCCATGATGGTCATGGACTAACTCTCTGAAACCATGAGCAAGCCACCAATTAAATTAAATTAAATTAAATTAAATTAAATTAAATTAAATTAAATTAAATGCTTTGTTCCTTAATAGTTGCCTTGGTCATGATGTCTCTTTGCAACAACAGAACAGTGACTAAGACCCCACCTAAAAAGATCAAAAATAAGAAACCCAAGCAAGCAACAATAACCTAGATACCCTGCAATTCTCTGGAAGCCATCCTCTCATGGAGCACTGAGGACCAAGGATGAGACCTGCATCTTCCTACGGCACATTCTCTGTACCTACAAAGCCAGATGAAAACCACATCCCAGGCAACTCTTCAACTGGTATTTGAATCAAACCTGGGTTCTCTGTAGTGCTGTTAAACCCTAAGATATCTCTCCAGCCCCAATATCACAGACTTTAAAGTCTATTTTAAAATGTTTAACTGGAAAGCCAGAATTAAAAACATATGCTTATAATTCTAGAACTTGCAAGATAGAGGCATATTAATGGCCACTAAGACAGTCTCAGAGCCACTGAGAACCTCAATGTTCATTGTTTTTAGGCTCTGGCTGGAAAACCTCCGAAGCAATGCTCCACTGATGACAACAAGCTTGCCTGGCCCACATAAACCAGGAAGCAGGTTGCAAGGATGTCTTGGACCACAGCCATGCCTGAAGACAAACACTTTGCATTAATATGAACAAATTTGAGATTCATTTTTGATAAGGGGCTCCTGAGGCAGGACCCTGCTACACAGACTGGGCTGGCCTTAAACTCAGGATCCTCCTGCCCCAGCCTTTTGGAATTATAGGTGTGCACTTGCCACATCCACTAAAATTAAGTCTTTAAAAGAAATAAAAGGAATGTGCTATGAAGGTGGATCAGGAATTTAAGGTTACCCTCCATATATATGGGATATAGGAGATACCTTCTCAAAATTATAAAACCAAAAATGAAATATCTAAGACTATTTCTAAACCTGCAGCAGAGCTGAAAGTGCCTGAAGTTGAAAACTGACCAGCAGGAAAAAGCATTTTCTTAAAAACAGATGCCAAGGATACAAGTGAATGTATAAAATTATTTAAAAATAAAAAAATATATTAAAAAAAAAGATTAAAATACTAAAAAACAAACAAACAAAAAACAGAAGCCAAGCACCAATGAAATGGATCAGCAGGTAAAGGTGGCTGCTGCAAAGCCTGAGTTCAATCCCCAGCTGAAAGGAAAGAAACAGATCTTCCAAGTTTTTCTCTGACCTTCACAGATACACAGTGGTATGCACGCATACTATGTACATACACACTAAGTTTTTAAACGTAGGCAGCACTGTAGCACATGTCTTTAACCCCAGCACTGGGAAGGCAGAAGGGAGCAGATTTCTATGAATTCAAGGCCAATACTGTCTACACAATGAGTCCCAAGCCAATCTCCATAGTGAAAGCACATCTCAAAAAAAAAAAAAAAAAAAAAAAAAAAAAAAAAAAAATCAATATAATCCGTGCTTTAAAATTGGGTGTGGTGATATGCACTTGTAACCTAGTCCTGTTGAGGCAGAGAAAGGGTGACACCTGGATTCTCTGGCCAGCCAGCTCAACAGTTCAGGAAATTCCAGGCCCAGAAAGAGACCCTATCTAAGAAAGAAGTAGAGAGCAGTTCAGCAATGCTTCCAAGGTTGTCCTCTGAACTCCACGTGTATATGCACTCCTATACAGGCACTTGAAAAGAAAAGAAAAAAGAAAAGAAAACATGGAAAGAAACAATCACATACAAAAGAAATGGGGATTTGGTGCTGGGCTCAGCACAGGCTCTGTGGTTGCAGGTACAAGTAGCCATCTCCCTTCTCCCTGTGCCTCCTCTCATAAAGTGAAAAGATGCCAACATCTTCCCAGGGGCAGAAGAGCATTCCTGACATACAGGCAGCACCTGGTGGTACAGTGCATGTGCGTGTTAACAGCCAAACACACTACAGTGTAGAATGATAAAGCACCCAAGTCATCCCCTTACCCTGCCCAGCACATCCAGAGGTAGTTTTGAGTTCATGAGGACCGGCTTGACCTTGTCTCCAGACAGCAGACCATTGAGTGGTAGGAGGCTTTCAAAGATGCCGTCAAACTTTGCCTTCTCCTCCACCTACCAGGAGAGAAGAAGGCACAGCTGAGTGCAGAGCACACACTGTGGACCCTGCCTAGGCCTGCCTGCACAGAGCTCAGCTGCACCAGTGGGAGTAAGCCATCTCAGCACAACCCTGGCGGCCTGAGTTTCTAGACAGAGTTCATGGCCTGGGAGGAACAGCTCCAGCCACCATGGGGGCCAGCTGAGCAGAAGAGAAGCTGGTCCAGGTCTTGTTCTGTCTGATGGCTGTAGGACCAGGCCCATAGGACAGTGCCTTTGCAGCAGCTCAAAGGACCTCATCAGATGTTTAGGTTTGAAGTGAACATGGGCAAAACCAACCTCTAGTGAGACTAATGGCATGAGCCTTTCATTCCAGCATGAATGAAATGCTGGAGGGCTTGAAGCCAGCTTGTGTACATGGGAGACCCTGTCTTAAACGTCAGCGTAAAGTGTGAAAGCATTGCTTCTCACAGAAGCTGTGATAGGGTGAACTGCACTGAAGCCTTTGGTTCCAATCTCATCACTGAGGAAAAAGGTTTTTAAACGAATGCTAGTGCTGAACCTTGGTGGGTAGAACCAAGGTTCTAGAACCAAGGTAGAACCATGCAACATGTCCAAGAGCCTTGAACTCCATCCCCAGGACTATAAAGAACAATTCCAGCACTGAGGTGGAGACAAAGTTCAAAGTCATCCTTAGCTACATGAGACTCTGTCTCAGAGAAACAAACTAAACAGGGCTAAGGACAACGTAGTTTGGTGGTGAAACCCTTGCCTGAGAAGCTCAAAGCCTGTCTAAGTTCAAAAGAGATGGAGAACAAGATCAAAGAAGAGAGAAGTAGCGAAGCATGGAGGCAGGGCTGCTTCCCGTTCTGAGGACGTCCACAGCCTACACTTGCTGCAGGGCCAACTCTGGCTCAGAAGGAGTCATAGGTTTTGTAAACAAGTATCTCAAATTTTAACTTATTTATTGAATTCAAGCAATAAGCACATGCCATGGCATTTGTATAGCAGAGGCCAATTTGAGATAGTGCTTTCTCTCCTTCCATCATCTGGGTTTCACACTTAGCAGCAAGCACTTTTATTCACTGAACTACCTTGCCAGTGCCATCTTTTCCCTTTTTGAGACAGGTTCTCCCTATGTAACCCACACCAGCTTTGAACATATGATCTGTCCTCCAGCCTCCGGTTCCCAAGTGTTGGGATAACAAGCATATGCCACTTGATAAAACAATGACTAAGACAGAAGTTGGAACCAGGGAGTGAGTGTGACAGGCCTAGCCATGCTTCTTGTTGGGACTTTGGATTAGGAAAATAGCTTAATGATCTACGAGAACTTAATAATAGTAGGAGCTGCAAGACAATAAGTGGGGGAAGCTCAAAACATTTCAGAGGAAAAGAGTATTAGTATGTGGCCTAGAGACTGTTCTTGTGATATTCTGACCAAAACAAAAAACAAACAAACAAAAAAACAGCAACAACAACAAAAAAGTGGCTGCTGCTCTTTGCCCTTATCAGAAAAAATCTGCCTGAAGCTAAATTAAAGTGTTTGGGATAACAATGTTGGCAGAGGAGATTCCAGGACACCCTAGTGTTGATTCTGTCCTGTGGTTAGAGGTGGTGATTCTTTTTTTTTTTAATTTATTCTCTCCTATATTACATCCCTACTGCAGTTTCCTCTCCCTCCGCTTCCTCCCAGTCCCCTTTTCCATTCCCATCCACTCTTCAAAAAAGGGCAGGCCTCACAGAGATATCATCTATAATAAAAAGGAGAAAGTTGTGCAAGGAAAAATATAAAAGGTACAGTTTGAGGAGAACAGGAGCATCACGAAGTGTATTGGAGCTAAGTCCTGTGCTCACAGAGACCCAAACCGGAATAAAGTCAGTGTTGACCTCAGGGCAAGATCCTACCCAGCTAAGCTACCAACTTGTCAAAAAGAATTTTAAAGATTAGGGCTAGACATGGTGGTGCTGCCTTTAATCCTAGCACTCAGAGGCAGGGGCAGGCAAATCTCTGAGTTCAAGGTCAGCCTGTTCTACAAAGCAAGTTCCAGGACAGTCAAGTTTAGGCAATAAAGTGAACCATCAAAACACAGAAAGTTAATGAAGATGTAATCAAATGAGGGTGCCATGTTCCAGCCCAGGTAAGAAGTAGAATTTGGTAGCTTCAGCTGCATGGTTCTGACTTTAGAGTAAAGGACACAAGACAGGGGTTAAAGAGTCTGCCTCCACAACTAAGGAAAGCCGCTAATTAGGGTCAGGCATGTGGCAGGGGTGTCCCCACATGCAGGCCTTGTCTGAAGCTGTGAAGGTGAACCTAAATTGCCTTGGAAACCTCAAAATGTTGAACATGCCAGAGCTGTGAGCTGGAAGAATTGGAGATCTGAAGACTGCTTTGACATCAGACATGGAGATGCAGAGTTTGCCCAGCTGGTTTTGGTCTTGCTTGTGTCCAGTGGTCCCACTATGCTCCATTTCCCCATTTTGAAAGGGTAATGCATAGTCTGTGCCACTGTATGTTGGAAGTATGTGATCTGCCTTTTCATTTTTATTTTACAAAGAAAGTTAGGGCTAGACATGGTGGCGCTGCCTTTAATCCCTTTGACTCTCAAAAGAAACTGGAATTTTAAACAGGGCTGAGACTATGATAGACCATGGGAACTTTTGAAGTTGGACTGAATGCATTTGCATTATGATATGGCTATAAGTATATAGGGCCAGGAAGTGGACTATGGTGGTTTCAATGAAATGGTTCCATAGACTCACAGGAAGTAGCATTATGAGGAGGTGAGGCCTTAGTGGTGTAGGTGTGGCCTTGTTAGAGAAAATGTGTCACTGTGGGTGAGCTATGAGGTTTCAAAAGCCCAAAGCAGGCCCAGTGGCTCTTTCTCTTCCAACTGTCTGCCATTTGGATGGAGAACTCTCGGCTGCCTCTCCAGCACCATGTCTGCCTGAGCACCACCATGCTTCCCGCCATCCTGATAACGGACTAAACCTCTAAACTATAAGACAGCCCCAGTTAAATGCTTTCCTTTATAAGGATTGCTGGGGTCACCGTGTCTCCTCACAGCAACAGGACAATGACTAAGACAGCCACCATGCTTGTTTGTTTGTTTTTCCTTCCTATAGGCAAGACCACTTCACCCTCTGCATGGAAAAGGAACACCTTAGGTACTGGGCGAGGCTTTTTGCAGAGCAGTGGGTACCTCAGAAAGGGAAGAGTGGCCATAGGGGAAATGGCTGGAAGGCTGCATGAGCATGTGTCTCCTCTCTACCCAGAAGAACCAACAAAATCAACATAGCCCCAAATGCGCACTGAGAGCACAGTCATTAAGCTGAAACCTCAAGTCCTTAGCTCCCTGCTCCAAGACTACAGCTTGCCAGCTACAGTGAAAGATTTGAAAAGTAATTTTCTAAGCTGAGCACTCAGGCATAGCTATTATCCCCATGTTGGGGAGGTGGAGGCAGAGGGTCTGAAGTCGAGAACAGCTTCAGCTGCAGTTTGAGTCTGCCCTCAGCCTGGGTGACAGGAGACCCGTTCTCAGTAAAAGACACAAAGATAAAGAATGAGCTCGATGGAGAGAGGCTCAGGGCTACAAGCATCCAACACAGCTGCCAACACCCCAGGCAGGTGGCTCCCAACAGCTGTCACTCCAGCTGCAGGGCTTCCCACTCCCACCCCTCGCCTTCCAAGGGCACACATACCCACCACAGAAGACAAATAACTAAAAAAAGTAAAACCTTAAAGAAATTGGAGAGGTGACCCTCCAATCCTGTGGATATAAATGGCAAAGGTACTTCCGAATGTTCTGAAGGGTAGAAAGCGCAGCGCCTATGCACTGTCTCTACTCACTCACCCGCACGGCCCAGTGGCTCTCTGCAGACGACTGTGTGGCCATCAGGGGGCTGCTGGTGTCATGCTGAGGAAGAAAGGCAAACACAACCAAAAGGATCTTATTCCAAAGTGAGAAGGCCACCAAATGAGTGGGATCTATAACCCTGCAGCTCCCCTCCCAGGTGCAGAGCCACAGGCGCACACACAAATCCATGACCATTCACAGCTGCAAAGCTCTCCACAGCCAGAGGCGGAGACAGCACAGACCTCAGCAGACAGATAGGCAAGCAGTGCCCATCTACAGGTCAGGACAGTAACAATGTCCTGTCGGGGCTATGATGTAGGCAGGCAGAGGGAAAGATGCCACACTCCAGGCCCTATCCTGTGTGAATTGACTGAGAGAAACATCCGAAAAAGACAAAAATACACAGAAGAAAAATGGATGGCTTCCAAGGACTGGGAGATGGAGAAACAAAGACTGAGGCATGGCCCAGGGCCTTCCTTTTGGGAGGTGAGAACTAGAACTCAGGCTGACAGCTGCACAACAGTGTTGTATAAGTGTGCACTGTTTTATTTATTTATTTTATTTTGTTTTCAAGACAGGGTTTCCCTGTTTATCTCTGGCTATCCTGGAGCTCACTCTGTAGACCACGCTGGCTTCAGACTCACAGAGAGTCTGCCTGCCGACTGCTGCTGGGATTAAAGGTGTATAGCACCATGCCTAGCTGAACCATGCATTTAAAAATGCTGAAGTTTGTAATGTACACCTCACCTCAACTAAAACACAAGAAAGACAAGCGAAGACCTGGATCTGTCACTCACACATATGCACACACACACAGCACCAGGAGGGTGTAAGTATGATGGTACGCACACTCACAAATTTCGGTGGTGGCATGGTGAGGTTCAGATTGCTCAAGGTGACTTCATGGCCACTCTGGGCACAGGCCACCAGTCTCAGTGCAACATAAAAACCCTGTGGAGCCAGAAAGAGGAGGCATCAACACCGTAAGGCAGGACAGGATGGCTCTCACTTCCACTGTAACGAACACCATAGCAGGTGGCCATTAGGAAATAGTGAGCGCTAAAAGGTTCAAGCAAAGGGATTTCCAAGACAAGGTTCGAGGCCAGGAGGAGCTGGGGCAGTCCATATGCTGTTTTCTGCTTTGGAGACGGCAGTGGTATGTATGTGTGTGCGTGTGTATGTGGGGTGTCTGTGTCCCTGTAGGGTTTTGTGCTTTTTTGTTTGTTTGTTTTGAGACAAAGTCTCCTATGTAGCCCTGGGCTGTCCTGGCACTCCATACATAGACTAGGCTGGCCACAAACTCAGAGATCCATCCATCTGCCTCTACTGACTGAGTGTTGGGATTGAATGTGTGTACCACCATTCAGGGTACAATTTATTTTCATTCTTAAAATGTTTTAATCACTGGTAAGTTCATTGTGATTGTTTAGGTTTTTTGTTTTGTATAGAAGTGTACACCTCTATTTTTTTTGTGTGTGTGTGTGTGTGTGTGTGTGTGTGTGTGTGTGTGTGTGTGT